GCAGGGACCCGCAACGAAGAGGGAGACTGAAGGGAAATTCCCGAGCCTGCCCGGCCCCGCCGCGTCCGCCGCTCCGCGCATCACGCCGGGAAGGAGTTACCGGGAAAGGGCACTGGCCTCAAGGGCTGCAGAGTCCAAGGTCCAGTGAGTCCGCTGGCCAGGAGGCTCTGGTCCACAGCAGCGCTCGCCCAGGCCTGGGGAGGGGAGGAGGGAGAGGGACCAGCCTGAAGGGAGTCACGTGGTACTTAAAGGCCCAGCGCATCGAAGGCAAGGACTGACTGCTTGTTCGCAAGTGTATTTTGACCCTGGCCACACACCGTCTGCGCCTGGACCTAACGCGGTTACCATGGGGACGAGGAGCGCTCTTTGGCTGGATCAAAAGGGTGATCGTAACCAAAGAGGTCAAAACGTGCCTGCTAGCTAGGCTAAGTCGCGGTGCAAGATGGGATGCCAAGGAGACCTCCCCGATCCAGGGAGGAGTTTCCAGTGCTACCAGGAGATGGCCTGCTCTAGCAACAGTTGCTAGGGTGGGGAAGCAATCGCTGGTCCCGCTTCTCTTCAAGCCTATTCATAGAATCCTAGAGCGTCAGAATTGAAAGGACCTTAGGGATTCTCTCTAGTCCAACTCCTCCATATGCTGATGGGAAGACTGAGGTCCAGAGAGGGGCAGGGACCTTCCCAAGGCCTGGAATCCATTTATCCAAAAGCCGGCTCCACCTTAGTGCCAGCCCTTGCCCTTAGCAAGGGAAAGGGATGTGTGGTGGTGTTGGGGAAAGGGAGAGGCACAGGTGAAGGAGGTAAACTTTCATTGAGCCAATGAGATAGGTTCTTTACAGATATAAAGAGATTTCATATCCTCCCTGCACTGTTTTTATTTATTTTTATGTCCTTTGCATTTATCACCATCTAACATACTACATATTTTATTTTATCACTAGGGGTCCAGTGCATGAATTCGTGCACCTTGAAAAGAACTGTGGGCCGCAAGGCTGCAAGGGGGCACAGGGGCAGCTCTTGGCCGCACCCAGGCCTGGCCCCTCGCGTCGCTGCAGCCCCTGGTCCCCTGTCTGCCGGCAGCCTTGGCTTGCACCTGCTGACGGCAGTGTGGAGCGATTGGGGCCGCCAGCAGCAGGTGCGAGTGCCGGGCAGGACCGTGGAGCGCAGGAGCAAAGGATCTTCAGTAATCACCAGAGGCTCACCCCGATGACAGCGACAGGTGCCCTGCCTTGGTCTGGCACCCCTGCTCACCTGCTCCACCATCCCCCCCATGGCCGATGCTTGCCATGTTCTGTGTGTGCCCCCTGGTGGTCAGCGCACATCATAGCAACCGGTTGTTCCACCGTTTGGTCTATTTGCATATTAGCCTTTTATTATATAGGATTTCTCTTCTCCCACTGGAATATAAGCTCCTAACGTCAGGGCTTTTGTTTGTGTGTGTGTGTGTGTGTGTTATTTCTCAGAGCTTGCACAGACCTTGGCACAGACAGGATTGCAATAAATATTTGTGGAATAAATGAATGAAAGGGGCTGAGGTTTTGCTGCTCAAGAGTATACATTCTGAGAGTGTGGACTTGCAGTCAGGTTCCAGTGTAAATCTTTCCCGCCTCTGCCACTCACTACCTCTGTGATTGTGACCGGTGACTTCACTTCCTCAAGCCCCACCGTCCACATATGTAAAGGGGGGAAAGTACTTCCCTGGTAGTACTGCAGTCAGGGACAGATGAGGTAATGTGATGTAAAGTGGCTGGGACTCGATAAACTGGAGCAATTGCTTTTCAAATGTGGAAATGAGAGGTGCAAACCGGGAGTTCCAAAGAGTAGATTTCCATCCGTGTTTTTCCGTTGTGGGCGGGAGGAAAGATGGGAAGAGCAGGGAAGGGAAGGGGAGACCGTGTAAGGTGGGCTTGGTTGGATGAGACGCGAGTTTGGAACAGTGAACGATGAGAAACAGGCAGCGGGGCGGCAGGTTTATGGTTTTAAGGGGGGCAGAAGAGGGGCCTCTAGGGACAGACCGTGGCTCCAGGAACAGCAGTGACTAGCAGTGTGACCCACTCCGCGGCTCTGTAAAAGCGAGACGTCTTGGGAGCCAGCCGCAGCGTCGCGGGTGTGTTTGGGGCGTGGTTTGGCGCGGGGGGCGGGGCAGGGCTCGGAGGC